AAAAGATATTATCAAAATATGTCATAAAGTAAAAATTCCCAGAAAAGATAAGCATGAAGAAGTTATATTCTTTATTGTTATTTTTAATGTTCTATCAGATTGATATCTGGAGATAGGAAAGTGGATGAAAACTCTCCACTGTGCAAAATACAATAAGATAAACTTCTATCCAGGAGCACCAGCCAACTGGGTACGAAACTGCTTTGAAATAGGAAATATACTTTGTCTATATCCCAGCAAAAATCTCAAAGAAATAGCTCAATTTCCAGTTAACATCAGGAAAGCTGTTAAAAGATATACTGAAGTCGTCAAGACAACAAATATATACATCAGGTTCCATTTAGCAACTATGGAATGGGATCCCGTTCTTGAATATATGTATCCATCGTTCCATGTTATCAAAATGGGACTTACAAACCAACATTTTTTACCAACCAGTCAAAAGGTTGTTAAAAATGGATATTAAGATATTTTCAATATGATGCCCTACAGAAGAGCAAAAAGGTACAAAGAAATATTTGAACATGTAACTCAGATAATTACTGAAAAAGAAAAAATATGGGTTTATCCATCTGAAGACCATATTATCTACTCTAATGTAAGGATGACTACAAAGGAAGAAGATATTTGTTATCTCGACCATTTATTATCTGCAATTATTTCCAACCAAGTACATGGATCAGAAGATATGGCTAAAGAACTGTGCAAATTACTCTGGAACTACAGTGATCACCATTATGAATATTGTGTAGTTGAAGATATGAGTCAAGCATATCTTAATAGTGAAGAATTCCCTGCAGAATTCTTTGATTCGAAAATGGAAAAGTGATGGTGACAAAAGTGGCTCTTTATCATTACTTTAATAAAGAAATTTATTAAAGAAAAATTGTGGCTACTAAAAGACAGAAGATAGTGCAAGAAAGTCTCCATAATTGTGACCACTTACACACTAGTTGTCAAAAGTGGAAGACAAATTCAATGATAAGGGAAATAATTTCAATAGAAGAGGTCTACCTAGCAAGAAGATTATGAAGAAATCGGTGGAGATAAGACTTTGGAGCTATCCAACAAAAGGAAGTGGAAAACACCTGTTACGATAAGATTCTCAAAGGCTTCTATAAAAGGAGGCAAGAAGGAAAGGATCTCGAAATAGCTTATCTCTTAAACACTCTGAAGAAACACATCTTAAAGAGATATCTTTTGTAATCTGTATACACCACTTGTATGCAGAAAAATATTAGATAGCTTGAAGATAGCAAAGCTTGTAATAAGGTAATCACTTATGGAGTTCTAAACTTCATAAGGTGAGTACCAAAGGTATGTAAATATAGATTGTAAGCATGTACTATTTCAGTTTATGAACATTAAAGTAAAGTTTGTTATGTTCAACAAAACTTTCATAAAAGGATTTTGTTAAGTTTCTCATGATTCCTCGACAGTATAGATAGAGATTTTAAAAGATTTTCAAAACATTGATTTTGAATGGATGTTAGCCATGCCAAAGTACCCATCTTTGATGAATGGTTTAGGGGAAAAATAGTTTTCTAACAAAATTGTAGTACATTGTGTGTGAGTTATCTTTTAAAATTTCGTTCCAAGTAAGAACTTGATTCTGAAAAGAGTTTGGATAGAGGTGAAAATAGAGACTCTGGATACTGTGAGATAGCGTTTGTGGTAACACGGCTAGTTCTCTAGAATGAGAAATGCAACTTTAATTGAAAAGCCTTTTGCGGAAGCAGTTGTGGACCCAAATGATTTTAAAAAACATTTTAAATCTTTACTTAATTCAGAAGATTGATTAAGTACATGCAAAGTATCTATAAGAATATACTGGACGGAAAGTCTGTTTACTTCTATTTGATTACTGTAAGTTATTTACTTGCTTTTATATACTTATGCTTTGATTATTTTGATGAACAATTCACAAGCATCCACATCTACTTCTAATGATCTTAGATTATACTTAGATGAGAAAGATATTTCGTTTTTATTCAAATTAGCTGAAAAGTCTGAATATATATTTCCTGTTGGCAAAGAGAAAATTGAAGAAATATACCAAGATATAGATTATTTTTGTAAGCACAATATAAGATTTGGTTTTGTAAGAACTAGCAGAGAAATAAGAAAGGTAGAAGATATTATAACTAAACATAGAGATATACAAGAAGAAATCTCAGAAGGATTAATTCGAGGATACATAACTAAGGAAGATCAGTCTAAGATTTTTGAAGAATTATCAAGATAGCAAGAATATTTAAAGGTGTTTGAAAGATTGAAAAATATAGATATAGGTCTTGATTAATAAGTCCCGAAAGATATAGGATACATCTTACAAATAATAAAAATAAAGGTAAAATAATATTTCTAATAGAAGAGGCCATTTTGAAAAATAGGATCAATAACCCGGTCATTTAGAAGACTGTCCCATTAAACAGGTGATATAGTATTTTTTTACCCACTTTTCCAAGATAATTTATCAGTGTGCCACCCTCAACCAAATAATCTCTGAGATGCCTCCTTAAAATTGATATTAGCAAAGCTTTTGACTCGGTTAGTTGGGACTTTCTCAAGAGTGTTCTTGAAGGGTTGAGTTTTCCTTTGACATTTGTTCAATGGATTATGGAGTGTGTTACCACTCCGACATATTCGGTTGCTTTGAATGGAAGTATGCATGGTTTTTGAAAAGGCGGGAAAGGCCTTCGACAAGGTGATCCACTCTCCCCTTTCTTGTTCGTGATTTGTCTTGAATATTTTTCTAGAATGATCAAGGATGCTACAAGTGATAATGATTTTAATTATCACCCAAAATGTGGTCCCCTCAAGATAACCCACTTGGCTTTTGCGGATGACTTGATGCTTTTTGCAAGGGGTGTTGCTATGTCCGTTGAAATTCTAATCGATTGCCTTGACAAATTTGGTTTAGCATCGGGTCTAAAGATCAACACTATGAAATCCAGCATCTACACAGCTGGAATTTTTGGGTATGAGCTTCAAACTATCATGGAAATCTCAAATTTTTCGAAAGGATCTATGCCTTTTCGTTACTTGGGTATTCCTCTTGCATCGGAGAAGCTCAAAGTGAGTTCTTATGCACCGTTTCTTGAAAAAATAGCGGGTTATATTGGAGCTTGGAGTTGTGCATCTTTATCCTATGCCGGCAAGTTGGAACTCATTAGGGCCGTGCTTCAAGGTGTTGAATATTTTTGGCTTTCTATCTTCCCCATTCCGGCTACAATTATTTCGAGAATTGTTAGCCTTTGTCGGAACTTCCTTTGGGGATCAAAGAAGCCATTGGTTGCATGGAAGAATCTATGCCTTCCGAAAACGGAAGGGGGCCTTGGATTGAAAGACTTGAAGACTTGGAATTTAGCGTTACTTGCTAAATCCCTTTGGAACATCCACAAGAAGAAGGACACCTTATGGATTAGATGGGTTCATCATGCTTATCTTAATGACACTTGTATTTGGGAGGCTCGTCCTAAAAAGGATCACTCCCCACTTTTCAAGAAATTACTTGAAATCAGGGATTTTATTTCTACCGAAGAAGCTGCCCAGCAAACTGTAATTCCGAGACAGCAACAGGAAACGGGGGCCCATCATTTTCAGATCGATCAGGGGGTTAACAGGGACACGTCCAGTGATGGAAGGGCATTAAATGGACGGTTTTTTTGGAGCTGGGAGTGCTCTGCATGACCAGAATTTGGGCCTTTCATTCAGCAGCATTTCTGGCCGGCAGACAGCTTTCTTCGGTAGGCAGTTTTTTGAATCTTCGACTCAAAATCTGGGCTGTTCTGTGCATGATAAATTCTCGACAAAAATTGCCTATGAATACTTTAGGCATAAAGGTTCTTTGAAGCCGTGGGGAGGAAAAGTTTGGAAGCCGTGCATCACTCCGAAGCATTCTTTCTTGCTTTGGTTAGCAGCCCAATCAAAGTTACTAACTAAAGACAAACTACTCTTCTTGGATATTGATCGGAAGTGTGTCTTTTGTGGACTTTTTGAGGAAACTTGTGACCATTTATTCTTTAAGTGCTCCTTCACTTCCTCATTATGGGGAAGCATTAGGAGATAGCTTGGCATCACAAGATCTATGTCTACACTTGCCATTGCGCTTAAGTGGATGAAAAAGGAGAATCGTGGAACTTCGTGGCTGACCAAGACGAAGAGAGTTGCTCTTGCTAGCACAGTTTACTGCATATGGCTTACGAGGAATAGGAAGATTTTTTAAGACCTCCTGGCCGACTTGGATTCTATTGCTAGAAGGATCAAGACTCACGTATACAAAGTCATGTTTACTTTGTATCCGGATGTCTTGATTCTTTATGAATCCTTGGTCATGGAGCTTTGATTTCTTTGTATTAGCTTTCTACTGCCTTTGCCCGGGTATGCCCGGAGTACTTGTTTATGTTTATGGACATTGATTTGTTCGGGTATGTACGGTGTACTTGTATTTGATTATGGACATTGTTTCGTTCGGGTATGCCCGGTGTATTTGTACATGGTACATTTTTGATCTATATATTTACATTTACCGATAAAAAAAAAAAAGAAAATCAATTTCATTCTATTCTATTATCTCGTATCTTCTCTATAAAGTGGATCAAACTGGTACAAAGACTCGACTCATGACACGACGATCAAAGACCCTATGCTTATAACGTTCCAAACAAGTCTACTTGTTAAAGAGGACAAAAGGTGTCAAAATTTGTAGATTTCATACAGAACGAAATTCAAAGGGGGACAGCTAATGCTATTTAGCTTCAATAATCAATTTGTAGAGCAATAAAAGTCACTGTCACATTAATGGGTGTTAAGCACCGTTATAACTAAACATTGTTCCTATTATTTAGAAAAATAAAAAAGAAAATGTCATCTGTATAGAATTATTTATTTCATACATGTTTGTCAGACAGTCACATACACGAGACTCTGCTGTTGTTAAAAAATTGGTTCTGTACAAGCAGTACGTTCCAAATAAAAATACCCAACTTGTAAAACAGTGTGTCACGCCATAACCAAATCATCCCATCGAAAATAACGTGCCACTTAGGTATTGCCGCCTTCCCACTCGAAGCATCAAGGATCTGCTAGCGTAACAGTACCGTCATGCTGTGATATTTATACCACACATGACACAGCCTGTGAGATTAGCGCAAAAAAGAGCAAGTACAACTGCACCAAATAGACCAACCCAATCTTCTGTATAGCAGCTCCTTCTATAAAATCCGCCATTTTTCTCCTCTCTTCGAGCTCTTTGTCTCCGCCATTAGAGCATTTCTTGAACTTTCAAATTGTAAATTTACGTTTCCAAGTCAAGTGTAGATCGTGAAAATAGAAACCCATCAGCTTACACTGTTAACTCACTGGTTAGTCGAAGTGAATATTGTTATTTGCAATTGTTTTAAATCATGGTCTATCTAAAAGATTCACACTCCCACTCGAATTCCAACAATGCTACAAACGCACACCGGACGTCGCTGTGGTACCACGCTCCGCCGCCATCTACCACCAAATCTTTTTGCTCCGTTGGTCGTTCCATGCGCACCATTCGGTCTAACTTCTTCCAGTCTGAGAAATCGCCACTTGTCTCCGAGAACTTGACCGACTCAGTGATTGACCTGCGACTTGGCGAACTCGCCAATAAATCACATATTGATTCAATACCCTCGTCATCCTCGGATGCCATAGACCATTTTTTGGAAATCTCACAGACATTCAGCGATTACTCGGCATGCTCCAGTGATATCTCCGGAGAGCTCCAGGTGCTCGCAAGTTTACCGAGTCCAGTAGATCCGGACCTGAACCAGGGATCGAAATCTGAACCCGAGCCAGAACCATGTCCAGGATTCTTGCAGAGAGAAACATTTTCCACAGAAATTGTTGGAAGTATTTCTCCAGAAGACCTTCAACCTACTGTTAAACTATGTGTTGATGGGTTGAAATCATCCTCAATTGCAGTGAAAAGATCAGCAGCAGCTAAACTAAGACAGTTAGCGAAAAATCGGGTCGACAATCGGGCCATGATTGGAGAGTCCGGGGCGGTTCCCGCTTTGATCTCGCTTCTTCGTTCCTCGGACCCTTGGACACAGGAAAATGCAGTTACTGCTTTGCTTAATGTCTCTCTGCATGAAAGTAATAAAAGCTTAATTGCAAGTTCTGGTGCCATAAAATCCTTAATATATGTGTTGAAAACAGGGACTGAAACTTCTAAACAGAATGCGGCGTGCACATTGCTTAGCTTGTCTTTGATTGATGAGAATAAATCATCCATTGGGGCTTGCGGTGCAATCCCACCTTTAGTGGCGTTGCTCATAAATGGGTCGAATAGGGGAAAAAAAGATGCATTAACGACGTTATACAAACTATGCTCAGTAAGGGTGAATAAGGAAAGGGCGGTGAGTGCGGGTGCTGCGGGGCCGTTGGTGGGGCTTGTAGGGGAGCAGGGAACAGGCCTGGCAGAGAAGGCCATGGTAGTGTTGAGCAGTTTATCTGGGATTGAAATGGGACGAGAGGCTATCATGAAGGAAGGCGGTATCGTGGCTCTCGTGGAGGCACTTGAGGATGGGAGTGACAAGGGCAAGGAATTTGCAGTTTTAACTTTGTTGCAATTGTGTGGGGAGAGTGTTAAGAATAGAGAATTGCTTGTTGGGGAGGGAGGAATTCCCCCTCTTGTTGCATTATCCCAGACTGGGACGGCTAAAGCTATGCATAAGGTGAGTCTTAAACTCTATAACTCTTGAATCAGCTCATTAAGTCTTGATTTTTATGGTGAATATAACAATTTAGGTGGCATGAAACGCAATTCAAATGCTAGTCTGTATAGACTAATTTTCTTCAGACCTATAACCTGTGGACATTTCATTGAGGTCCTATATTTATTGCAAATATAGCATTTTCGGTGGTATGATATGCATATTAAATGCTGTTTATGTTATATTGTTTACTTAGTTTCTCAAGACATATATCCCTTGAATCATTTCATTATTGTCGCGTGATGACTGTAAATTAGAGTTTTAGGTGATAGGATTGTTTACTTATTTGCTGAAAGGATCCAAGCGTTATTTTTTTGTATGTTTTACACCACAGAATTGGGATCAGGACATGGTATTTGCTAAGACTTGGTTCATAATTGAACGGAACTTTCTCCAACTCCAATGCCAATTCTAATACCTCAACTTCTACCGCCTAACTTGGTTTTAAGTAATTCATGGAAACGTTCAGATTCAGTAAGCACAGATCACAGTATTATTAGATTTGAATTTTATTAGGATAGGTGCATTTAGGCTGCTTAAGTATTTTAACAATTTTTATATAGATTGTCAAATGAGGGGCCCTGAATGTCCTGCAAGTTGCTCGGAGATTGACCTGCATTAGTTTTTTTAATACTAAATGATAGCACCACAAATTTATAATCAAAATTAGGCATTAATCTGAGCATTGTTGTCCGTATCCAAAACTTGCTATGCGATATTTATATTTTCACCAGGTCGATATCCACTCTTTTATGATACAAGAGAATAATAATTGTTACAGTGTTACTTCAGTGACTTTGATGGTCCACCATATTTTGGGGATTCTTTAATAGCAAGCTGCAAGTTTCTTCACGCCATTGTGTCTTTATGGGAAGAATGATTTTGATTGTGTGTGGCTGTAATTGGCAGGCTGAAACGCTACTTATGTACTTGAGAGAATCAAGACTAGAGACTTCAACTCCATAGAGAGGTTTCTTAGATGGTTTTGTTACTTCGTATATACAGGAATTGTTTTCGGAGGGTTTTTATTGAGTAATTTGAGGTTTATCATGAATGTTTGGAGGGGAAAAAAAAATTAGAAGCTAGCTTTTGTTTTGAGTTGAGAAGTTTTGTTTGGGATATCCAAATTGTATGGAATGTTGTACTAGTTACTTTCATGATCTGGTGTATAAAAGGCTAAGTGATACTTGAGTTTGGCTTAACTCAGTATTCTATATACTCGTTCATGGTTAGATTTGATTCATTTTTCCTTGACCTGTGCACGGTTTTCATAAATGATTATTGGCAAGACTTGAAATCATGACATAACTTGGAAAAAGTGTAAGATGTTTGAGTTGGGGATTAATGTGAATTGAAATTTGGAAAATGCTATATGTACACCATGAGATGTACACAATGGGTTACACCCCCCTCACATAGAGAGAGGTTTACTATTATTTTATTGTATGTGAACCCCGTCCATGTGAAGGGGGTGTAATGTTGTGTGTACACATAGTATTTCCCAATAAATTTAGGTTTGAACATGACATACCTATCATTTGAAAGAGACTCTACAGCTGGCCAACTTGCACTTTTGGACAACAAAGGTAAAGATAGTTTATTCACCTGTCTAGATCAGCCCTTGATTTATCCTTTGACCTGTTTGATATCTCTCCAATTTGTTTAACATTGTTAAATTCAGTTTAGCTCTGAGACAAAACTACAGTGAAGCGGCGGCGCTTTTGAATATGCTGTGGTCTCAACGCCCTTACGAGGTAGCAATGAGTTTCACTTGGGATTCTATAATAATCATCGACATTGGATCTAGTATTATAAGTTAATCATCTCGGAGTAAGATTAAAACTAAAGGGATTGTAGGGTCACTGGACCCCTAACTCTTGGTTGTAAAGTTGAGCAACCTACAATGTATTAGTCCTACCATAATGCATGTACATATTCACTATGATAAAGCCAAGAAACCCCACAAGAAGATTATGTAATTTGGTACAAATTTTATGATTCATTTCTTATTGTCTTGTCATTATTATTGAATTAGCTGGCAGTACACTTATGTTTTGTCCTGCTGTTTGGAGGGACCACGTCTCCATCTCGAGTTTTCAACTTGGTACCATGGATTGGCGGTGACACTTTTTAACGGCTGTATTTCGAAGTGAATTTGTGTACGATGTATGGTGAAAGAGAAATGACAAGAGTTTTGAAAAATTTAAACAAAAGCATAAATGGTTGGCATTGACAAAGATGGAGATTGAAAGGTCAAAATAATTAATAGTAAACTCTCCAGCTGGTTTTTTCCGTATTAGGCTGTCTTACTTTTTTCCATTATCTTATACAATATATATACCTAAGCCGCCCCGTTTGACTCTCATTTTTCAAAATAAAAATAGGTGAAATGGTGTTTTTTTTTTAAATAAATGGTTGAAAAAGAAGTAAAAATTTTCGATTTACGTATAATATTATTTTATAAAAAATTATGTGATTGAAAATAAGAAATAGAAAAATAAAATATAATGTAATTTAATGTAATGGGGCTAAATAGAGCTAATTCTGCAGCAGCAATTTGAGCATGGTCGTGAGCCTGCTTGAATAATTCCGAGGAACATTGGGACTTTTCCTTTGTCATTGTTCTGTACGATTCAAAATATTAAATATATGTACGATTGCAAAGTTATGTATCATTGCAAATTTTGAAACCGTTCGAGTGCAATCAAGTTCATTTCTTCAATGACGAGTTTTTTACTATTTCCGTCTATCATTTTAAGAATCCTAGAGCCATGATAAAAAAAAATCAATATATTTCTCTTTCAACATATTATTTTAATTATTTTCTTTTTAATACTCTCATTTCACTTTTCTTTTTTGTCATTTTCTCTTCTTCTTCGTTTTTTTTAATAAAAAAAGATAAATTTGTAAATAAAGTTGTTTCTCTTACCATTTCTTTCAATTTTTCTATGATTTTTTTTTTTGATAAAAATCAGATTAACTTATAAATATTTATATATATATTGGTTGCTTGTTTAATTTAATAACCTTTTGCGGGCTTCAATATATTAATAATATGGGCATTGTTACACGTACATCAAACTTTACATAATGTCATATGTCACTATATTATTTGTCAATTTAAAATATATTTCATTTTTTCATCCAATTATTTTTATTCACATCATCTTATATAATCACTTATGTACCATTTTTATGTGCAAGTAGCATAATTCTAATAATATTGAATATTAGAGATTTCTTTTTCATCGAAGAGTATTGAAATGTTATATTTTTTTAATACTTTGGTTGTTTATTTTTCTATTTTAGGTGAATTACATTTTTTTATATTCTTTTAAAAAATGTTTTTATTGACATGAAAAATATAATTTTGATATTGAGTCATGGATTATTTGGTATACAAGTAACATGCATGCATGTTTTTAGTTTTAGCTTTTAGGAGAGGGTCACAAGACTAAAAGTGTGTTTGATTGACTTTATTTTTCAACCTAAAAAATATTATATTTGTCCATTTTCAAACGGATAATTTACTCTCTATTTCTCTATCTTATCCGTTGACTCTATTCTATCTACTCACCAGATAATTTACTCTCTATTTCTCTATCTTATCCGTTGACTCTATTCTATCTACTCACCAATAAAAAATGGACAAATATAATATTTTTTAGGTTGAAAATTAAATTAATCAAATACATTTATTTAATAATTTTCATGAAAATAAGTTCTAGATAATTGAATTGTCTAAAATATATTTTCTTTCTATATAATTTCTATGCTTGCAATCGAGCGAATAATCGAAATTGATGTTTCAAAATGAATGCTAAAAGTTTACAAAAAATGAGAATTAATTGTTCCAATGTTATTGAATTTAGGTTCATATCTTTGATTAGTCACTGAAATTTCAAATATCGAGTTTTGATTACTGAACGTCTTCAATTGCTCACTAAAGTTGAAAATGTCAAATTTTGATCATTGAACTTTGAAAATTATTGTACATTACTTACTATAAACTCAACATTTTTCAAAGTTTGAAATTTTTGCTAGGGAGTAATGTATAACATTTTTTCAAAGTTCAATGGTCAATATTCAACATTTTTACTTTAGTAAGCAATCGAAAATATTGATCTAAGTTTAATAATCAAAACTCGACATTTTAAACTTCAGTGACCAATCAAATACATGAACTTAAATCAGTGACTATTGGAACAATTAATTCCAAAAATGAAGATAATTAGTAAGAAGCCCAAATAAATTTAGTGTGTGTTTGAACCACATTATTTTTTAAGAATGTATTTTAGAATAGTAAATTGATAGAGAATGTATGGTTAAAAAATAATTTTTTTTTTAAATAGTATATAATATTATTTTATTTAAAAATATGTTATTAAAATGATGTCAAATCATCGTTTAAGAATATATTTTTTTCAAAATGATGGCTCAAATAGGGCCCTAAAGGAGCTCAAAGCCCACCCCTAAATCTCAACCCGAATGAAACGATCTGATTCCCACTTCTGCACTTCGCAAAATCCCAGCTCTCCGTTCTTGATCCTTCCGCTCAAAATCAAACCCCAGTCACAGTAGGAATCTTTATCTTTTAATTGTGTTTCTGTTTCTTCTCCGTGAGTATATATCTTATTCATCAATTGTTTGGCCGATTTTATTTAATTCTTGCACCATATGTCAGTTGTATTAGTAAGTCGACTTGAAAAATGTTGGAACTTTTAAGGTAAGCCTAGCTTGATCTAACGCATAAACGCAATTGCAGAAAATGAACCAGATTGTGCAGATAGATAACCAAAAATAGGTCTGATTAAAAACTAATCCTCAAGCCCAATTTGGGACTGCTGCGATCGAATTCTCTCTCCAACGAAATTGGGGTTACCTGTATTTTGCTCTTCAGAGACCTCTCCAACCCTTTTCTCCAATGGCAGGTGAATTTGCTTTCATTTATTTTTTCCTGCTTCCATTTAATTTACATCATTATGGTATCGCCACTATTCTTTAGTCACATAAATTAATATATTATATGAATAATGATAAATTAGGGGATAAAAAATCGACGACCAGGCGTAGAGATAGGGCTGCAGTGGTGGTCCTTGGGGACATTGGGCGTAGCCCACGTATGCAGTACCAAGCGCTTTCCCTTGCGCGTCAGGTATACTTCTAGCTATACATACTGTGCATGTTTGTGAGAATTTGGTCTCTGTGTGTGTGCTAGATTGGGGAGTAGGGGGAGGCAATGGTTCAGAGTTTTAAATTTGAAGATTAGTAGGGGGTACTCATGACTAAAATTGCTTTTAAATTAACAAGTTCGGTTTTGATGCTATTTAACGGATTCTTGACTTCTGTTCTATAATTTCTGGTGCTACTGAATAGCAAGTGATTTGATTACTTGGTTGATATATATGCAAAAAAAAAAAAAAAAAAAAAAAAAAAAAAATATATATTGGTGGTTAAAAAAAAAAAAAACACAATATATATTTTTTTTTTTTTTTAACCACCAATATATATTTTTTTTTTTTTTTAACCACCAATATATATTTTTTTTTTTTTTTAACCACCAATATATATTTTTTTTTTTTTTTAACCACCAATATATATTTTTTTTTTTTTTTAACCACCAATATATATTTTTTTTTTTTTTTAACCACCAATATATATTTTTTTTTTTTTTTAACCACCAATATATATTTTTTTTTTTTTTTATTTAATTAAAAAAAAAAAAAAAAAAAAAAAAAAAAAAAAAAAATATATATTGGTTTACATCTTATGTCACTGGAATGAAAAATATTTGGGATGATTTTTTTTACAAGAGCTGGAAGAATAATCTTGCTCAGTGTAATTGGGGTTGAAGTTATTAGCAGAACATCAATGACGAAATGTTCGTTACTTAGGATCAAGAGGATTTTTATGACAAAAGACCAGTTTTCTCTGTAGAAATGTTATTTGATTGTTGATTTTTTTTTATCTACCCAACACTGTTTTTATTTTGAACTTCTAATTTCTCTTGCAGGCTTTTCTAGAGGTTGATATTGTTGCATATGGAGGTATGCTTATATCTTATGATGGCTGAGTGAAAACTGAAAAGTAACTTCTATTTGTTGGTCAAAGTGTCTAGGTTATTTATTTTATTTTATTTTCACTTTGTGATTTCTACTCAGATTGAATTGTTTCATCAAATAATGCATGTTGTCTTGAACAAAAACTTATATCATATTTGGTTAGGTTCCGAGCCTCACACTGCTGTTTTAGAGCACCCGTCGATCCACATTCACAAAATGGTATAGTTACTCATTTCTAGACTGGCTATGCTTAAAATCAATGTTTTCAAAGCTGGACCGGACCGGCCAGTTCACCTGAAAATATGGGAACTGGACCTAAGTCCGGCGGTTATAGTGCAAAAACCGAATGTTAAGAAACCGGTGCAAAATCCGGGAACCGTCTGGTTCAACATAAAAACCGGTGAACCAGTTGCGGTTTTTAATGGTTCACTGATATTTCCTACAAAATAATGTGTAAAATGAAGAAGAAGAAGATTCCTTCATTGCTGCTTTTGAACTGGAGCTCCATTATCTTTTCTGAAATCCTTGCACAAATTTTTAATCAAACATCTAATATTCAAATCCAAAACAATCTTATAAAAATACATATATCTTATGTTTTTATATACAAATCTAAAATATATTATGTTTTTATATACAAATCTAAAACAATATTTATGTTGTTACATATAAACGCATATATTTTGTGGGAGGAGAAGACTGAGAGAGAAGATGGAGAGATGGCGGAATATGGTGTTGAACTTTTGCCTCTGTAATGTATATTTGATATTAGGGTTAGGACTTTGGGTATGGACTGTCAAATTGTTTGGGCCCATATTTTTTTTTCACTTAATGAAAAATTCCATGAGTTATAAATGGTAAATAATGGGTTTTAAAATGCTATTTTAATATACTAAATAAATAATAAATCCATTTATTATGTTAATTTGGGGTCAATCACGGTTTAAACTCGGTTCGACCGTTTACCTTTGACCATTTAACTTTTCCGGATCAATTACAGGGCCGGTTTTCAAAACATTGCTTAAAATTGTCAAGACATTAAGGAAACTCTATTTTGTGTCCGACAGCCGCAATGGCCAACTAGAGCTCAAAGTCTGCCGAAGATACTCCGTCCCTTAATGCTTATGCTCAAGCCAATTGTTCAATTTCTTATGCTTCTTTGGTATCTTTGCGTGAAGATACCAGCTCCTGATGTTTTTATAGTCCAGGTGAGCTTCAAACTTGTGCTTATTTCGTCATTTGAACAATGATGTTTGATGGATTCATAATCTTTTGTTATCTCAATTGTCGTATGATTGGCTATGCCAATGTCAAATTCATGAAACCCTATTTTGTCGTTTTACCTTATATTATATAACAGGTAATGTTTACCTTATATTATTGCTGATGTTATTGGAATATTCTTGAATAGTCCTTTTTCAGGCATTCAAAAAAATCTTTTCATCTTGATTAAAATCCTGGTTGTAATTGTATAGGAAAGGTAGATTTGAATGTGTTACCCTCTCCTATTCCCATTTATCTTGGAAAACCTTGTGCTTCTATACGGCAACATGTTCAGGTGGAGGTTGTACCAATTAAAGATTAATTAACGATGACTTAAAGCATGTTTGGCAAGAGTTTATAAACAATTTTATTTACAAATAGATAGAAATGTATGGTAAAATAAATGGGTAGTACTTGCGGGTTCCATGAAATGTGGATAAAAATTGGTTTCACCATTTGTAAACATTGGCTAAACATAGGCTTAGATACTTGGGCTGGAGCCTTTTTTTGTAGACCTAAGAATCAGGAAACTCTTATTCATGAGAGTAATGAATCCCAGTAGAACAGGCTAGAATAGAGAAATGCAGACTAAAACTAACATGCCTACTATGGTTGCAAATGGTTTGATTGCCAATGGATCTTCCACTAGAGGTGGCAATGGATAGAATACAGAGGCAAGAAAGAATTGATATAATGGAGTTCCATATTTATTGGCAACACGCCTTAGTATGTGTTGATGTTTTTCTTTATAAGGTGAGAAGTTCTACTGATAACTCTGAATGTAGCAGTTTAAGTCCATATTAGGCATATTCACTTTGTTTTTTCTCGAGCTGTTTTTAGGGAAATCTTGCCTGTGTTCTAATAAATGGTTTAGAAGCAATTCCCAATTGTCTTTAGCTGTGCTTGAGAGTGCATCACAAACTACTTTTACTGGCTGGCTTATCTCTAGCTGTGCTTGGGCATCATGTTCTAATTTTTTTGCTGGCAATCTGATTGGATCTCAATTGTTAAAGTATTTGTTGTAACTTACCCTCTGAATGCCTAGCTTGGTTCAGTTATGTGAAATTGACTCTTGCAGAATCCACCATCTGTTCCTACCCTAGTAGGTGTAAAGTGGGCTAGCTGGTTGAGACGTTCGTCATTCATTGTAGACTGGCATAATTTTGGATATACGCTGCTTGCACTATCACTTGGAAGGAGTAGTTATTTCGTATCAATATATCATTGGTAAAATTAGATTCGTATTATATCAATCGAACTGAGGATCTATCTTTGCATTTTAGAAATATGAAATTTTGGTGTATGCCCAGGATTGAGAAACGTTATGGCAAGATGGCTCATGGTTCACTATGTGTGACTGGGGCAATGCAACATGAACTGGCTGAGAACTGGGGAATTAAGTAATAGTATTATTTCAAAGATCTGTCATTTATTTATATCTGCTCACTCATTTACTTGTTCCTAGTTATTTACCTGCGTCCTCTTTGTTTTCCAATCATAGAGCCACTGTTCTATACGATCAGCCTCCTGAGTTTTTTCGACCGGCTTCTCTTGAGGAGAAGCACAAGGTAATTTGACTTTATTTGTCATAGAATGCTTTAAGAATATATTGAATGAACAAACCTAAATTTAAACAGCAATCTAGTTATTTTGCAGGATCAACAAAAGCCTCAGCCAGCCATCTGGTTTTCAGGATTGTATTAGTAGTGGTAAAGCAAGTTGTAATACTGTTCTTTTGGTTCACCGTTTAAGTTGATGTTGAGAGTGTGGGGGCTAATTTGATGTAGACTTGAACACTACTAGCAGGGATGACAGCATCAGATGACAATGATCCTAATGTAACTCCAATTACGGCTCAGCTTGGCACTGATATTTTCCTGAAGCAAAATAGACCAGCACTCATTGTTAGCAGCACGAGCTGGTATGTTAAATTGATTCCTCATCATCTTAGTTTACTTGAGCTTACTTTTCCTTTCATGACCACCCCATGTCTTTGTTCTCAGATCATATGAAAATGAAGGAAAGGAAAAACATAAATAATCATGGGTTGGCAATGTAGCTACGCAATTTCTTGAATATCAATACTCTGATATGATTTTGTTCCCAGGACTCCAGATGAAGACTTTAGCATTCTTTTGGAAGCAGCACTTATGTATGATAGACGCGTTGCTGCACTACTTAACGAGGATGACTCGACCAGAGATGAAGTTGTTTGGAAGGAAATCTGTGATGGGAAGCAATTCTCATATCCAAGATTGTTATTCATCATTACTGGTAATGACTGTTCATACGAAACAATCTTTTATTTGACTGGTAACTTTTTTACATTTTAGAAAACTGAATATCATTTTTACATAAGTGAAGGTAAAGGGCCAGAAAAGGAAAAATATGAACAAAAAATAAGGAAGCTGAGCCTCAAACGGGTGGCATTCCGTACTATGTGGTTGTCAGCAGAGGATTATCCTTTGCTTCTTGGTAAGTTGTAAAAGGTTAACGGCTTATATTTCACTTCCTACTGGTAATAGTTATATATGTAGGTATGGCAACGTGCCGAGCTGACCTTCCCAGTCAGGTGCTGGGGCAGGGATTAGAATATACTCATTTACGTCTCCAATTAATTAATTATTTTTATTCTAATATTATTTCCTTTTATTTAAATGAAATTTAAATTTAAAAATAAAAAAAAAATATAAAACAAAATGAAAAGATTTGGTGCGGGGACCATGTTCCCCTTCCCCATCTACAACTCGATTCCTAATGGTGAGGGAACTGTGTATTTTACCATCCCTACTTATATCTTCCTTTTCTACATGTTCAGGATCAGCAGATCTTGGCGTTTGCCTGCATACTTCTTCATCAGGGTTGGATCTACCCATGAAGGTATTGTGTCCTGAAATCTGTTTTTTGCTAGGAAAAACAATTTTACCGCAATTGATTTAGCTCCTCTTCCTTGCAAGTTTCTCTCTCACTTGTTTTTGTGTTGTGTATGTGAGAAATGCCCTCATTGTTGGAACTTTTTGGTTTATTAGGTTGTAGATATGTTTGGCTGTGGACTCCCAGTCTGTGCTGTTTCATATTCTTGGTAATATCTTCTGGTGAGCTTCTTTGTGAAATAATAAAGATAAATGACATTTTAACTATACTTTTTGTCTATGTCCAGCATCAAGGAGCTGGTACAAGCTGAAAAGAATGGCCTTCTTTTCTCATCATCTTCAGAACTAGCTGATGAGCTCATGGTAAGCTTGCATGTAGGAAGCTAGATAGCATTTTGGAAAGCCAAATAATTTATATTCCTCCAAGAACAAATCATTATGGTGACACGAGGATGATGGATATCCTTTATATTTAGTTTCCATTTTTCTGCAATGTCACTATTTATTGTTTGGGTGGTGGTGGGGGGGGGGT